ATGCTGCAGTGAACACAGGGGTTCATATGTCTTTTCAAATTACTGTTCTTGTTTTCTTTGGATAAATACCCAGAAGTGGAATTGTTGGATCTTATGGCAGCTCTGTTTTTAATTTTTTTGAGAAGTATCCATACATGGCTGCATTAATTTATAGTTCCACTCACAGCATACCAGGGTTCTCTTTTTTCCACATCTTCATCAGCACTTGTTTGTTGATTTTAGCAATGATAGCCATTCTGACAGTTGCGAGGTAATATCTCATTGTGGTTTTAATTTGCATTTCCCTGATAATGAGTGATGTTGAGCATCTTTTGATATGTCTGTATGTCCTCTTGACAGAAATGTCTATTTAGGTCCTCTGCTCATTATTTAATAGAATTGGGCTTTGGGAGTTTTTTTGGTGTTAAGTTGTATGAGTTCTTTATATATTTTGGACATTACCCTTTTATTGGATATATCATTTGCAAATATCTTCTCTCATTCAGTAGGCTGTCTTTGTTTTATTGATGGTTTTCTCCACTGTGCAGAAACTTTTCAGTTTGTATATTAGTCTCATTTGTTTATTTTTTCTTTTGTTTCCTTTGTTCAAGGAGATATATCCAAAAAGATATTGCTAAAAGTGATATTAAAGGGTTTACTGACTATTCTCTCTTCTAGGAGTTTTATGGTTTCAGGTCTAACATTTAAGTCTTTCATACACTTTGAGTTTACTTTTGTATATGGTGTAAGAAAGGGGTTCAGTTTTATTTTGTGTGTGTGTCTGTCCAGTTTTGCCAAACCACTTAATGAAGAGATTGTCTTTACCCTATTATATATCCTTGCCCCTTTTGTTGTAGACTACTTGATCATATAAGCAAGGATTTATTTCTGGGATGTCTGTTCTGTTTCATTGATCTATATGTCTGTTTTTATGCCAGTATCATACAGTTTTGATTATTGTAGCTTTATAATATAGTTTGATATCAGGGATCTTGATGCCTCCTACTTTGTTCTTTCTCAAGATTGCTTTGGTTATTCGGGACTTTTGTGGTTATATATAAATTTTATGATTAATTGTTCTAATTCTTAGATTCAGAGTGCCACTGATATTTAGATAGGGATTGCAATGAATCTATATATGATTGTAGGTAATAAGGACATTTTTATAGTACTAATCCTTCCAATCTTTCCATTTATTTGTATCATGTTCAGTCTCTTATAATTTTCAGAGTGCAGGTTTTTTACATCTTTGGTTAAATTTATTCCTAGGTATTTTATACTTTTTGATGCAATTGTAAATGGAATCATTCTTATAAATTTCTTCTTCTAATTGTTCATTATTGATGTATAGAAATGGAATCAATTTTTGTGTATTGGTTTTTATATCTTGCAACTGTACTGAAGTCATTTATTAGTTCTGATAGATTTTTGATAGAGTCTTAATGTTTTCTATATACAGTATCCTTTCATCTGCAAATGATGAACATTACTTACCTCTTTCCAAATTGAGTGCCTTTTGTTTCTTTGTTTTGTCTGATTGCTGTGGCTAGGCCCTCCAATACTATGTTGTAAATAGAGTGGTGATAGTGGGCATCCTTGGCTTGTTCCTAATCTTACGGGAAAGGCTTTCAGCCTTTCACCATTGAGTATGATACCAGCTGTGGGTTTGTCATGTAAGGCCTTTATTATGTTGAGATACGTTCTTTCTAAATTCATTTTGTTGAGTTTTTATCATAAAATTATGTCGAATTTTGTCAAATACTTTCTCTGCATCTATTGAGATGATCATATGGTGTATATACTTTATTTTGTTAATGTGATGCATCATGTTGATTGATTTACGGATGTTGAGTCATCCTTGCATCCCTGGGATGAATCCTACTTGGTTGTGGTGTATATCATTTTAATGTATTGTTGAATCTGGGTTGTTAATATTTAGTTGAGAATTTTTACATCTGTGTTCATCAAGGATATTGGCCTATAAATTTATTTTTTTGTGGTATTTTTATCTGGTTATGGTATCAGGGTAATGCTGGCTTCATAAAATGAATTTGGAAGCATTTCTTTTAAATAGTTTAAGAAGGATGGTTATTAATTTTTCTTTGAATGCTTGGTAGAATTCAGCTGTGAAACCATCTGGTACTGTGCTGTGCTTTTATTTGTTGGGAGTTTTTTTGTTTTTGTTTTTGTTTTTTTCTACTTTAATGTTATTGCTACTAATTAGGCTGTTTAGATTTTTATTTCTTCTGGTTGTCTTGGAAAATTATACACCTAGAAATTGATCTATTTCTTTTAGATTATCAAATTTGTTGGCATATAATTATTCATAGTATTCTTTAATGCTTTTTTTTTATTTCTGTGCTGTCAATTCTAACTTCTCTTTTATTTTTTATTTTATTGATTTGGGCTGTCTCCTTTTCTTGAGTTTGGCTAAAGTTTTTGTCTATTTTATTTATCTTTTCAAACAACCAGCTCTTAGTTTTATTGATCTTTTATATTGCTTTTTAAATTTCTATTTTGTTTGTGTCTGCGGTGATTTTAACCATTTCCTTCCATTTACTCGGCATTTTGTTTGTTTTTCTAGTTTATTTAGTTGTAGTTAGATTGTTTATTTGGGATTTTTTTGTTGTTGTTTCTTGAGGTAGGCCTGTATAGCTATAAACTTCTCTCTCAGTAGTGCTTTTGCTGCATTTCATACATTTTAAAAAGTTGTATTTTCATTTTAATTTGTTTTAAGATAGGTTTTGATTTCTTGTTTGATTTCCTCTTTTATCCATTGGTTGTTTAGTAGCATGCTATTTAGATGCTTGATATGATTTCGGTCTTCTCTAATTTATTGAGGCTTGTTTTGTGGCCTAATATGTGGTCTTTCCAGGAGAATGTTCCATGTGCACTTGAAAAATAAATATATATTCTGAAGTTTTGGAATAAAATGTTCTGTAAATGTTTATTAAGTTGATCTTATCTAATGTGACATTTAAGGCCATTATTTTCTTATTAACTTTCTGTCTGATGTCTCTGTCCATTAATGTGAGTAGTAAAATCTTCTACTGTATTGTATTACTGTAGACTTCTCCCTTTATGCCCATTAATAATTCCTTTATATATTTAGGTGTTCCTACCTATGTTGGGTGCATAGATATCTACAATTGTTATATCCTCTTCTTGGAATTGACCCTTTTATAATTATCTAATGTTCTTCTTTGCCTTCTATTTTTACATTTTTTGTTTTAAGGTATATTTTTTCTGATACAAGTTTTGCTATTCCACCTCTCTTTTCATTTATATTTGCATGGAATATCTTTTTCCATCCTTAACTTTCAGTCTGCATGTGTCTTTGGTTTTAAGTGAGTCTCTCATAAGCACCATATATAGATGGGTCAGGTGTTTTGTTTTGTTTTTAAATATGTTGTTATTGATTTTGGGGGTGTAGGGAGAGAGAGATAGAAACATCGATGTGAGAGAGAAATATCAATTGGCTACCTCCAGCATGCCCACTACTGGGGATCGGGCCTGCATCCCAGGCGTGTGCCCTGACCGGGAATTGAACCGGGACCTCCCAGTCCATGGGACAGTGCTCAATACACTGAGCCACACTGGCCAGGCAGATGGGTCATGTGTTTTAATCCACTCATCCACCATGTGTATTTTTATATGATCATTTAATCCATTTTCATTTAAAGTAGTTTTTGGTAAGTATGTATTTATTGCCATTTTGTGCATTGTTTTAAGGTTGTGGGTTTTTTTCCTTCTTTTTTTTTATCCTCACCCAAGGACATTTTTCGATATTTTGTTCAGATAGAGTAGGAGGGAGAGAGAGAGAAAGAGAAACATCGACGTGAAAGGGACACATTGAGTCGTTACCACCCACATGACCCAACCAGGGCCGTGACAAACTGCAACCGAGATACGTGCCCTTAGCGGGAACCGAACCCGGGTCTCTGCGGGCCGCAGGCCGACGCTCTAACCGCTGAGCAAACCAGCCAGGGCTAGGTTGTGTTTTAAAATTATCCTGTGTTTCTTCTTCTCTTGATCTATTCCCTTGTGGGTTACTGTTTTCCTTTATTTATTTATTTTTTTGGTTCCTTTCTTTTTGTTCTATAAATATATATATATACACACACACACACGCATATATATATATATATGTATACACACACACACACATATATATATATATATTTGGGGGGGTTGCTTTGTGGTTACCATGAGGCTTATGTATACTATTCTAGATCTATAGCAGTCTATTTTAACCTGATAGGCATTTACATCTCAATATACAGCAAAACCGCAGTATAACGGGTTAATTCAGGTGAGGGAGTGTCCATTAAAGCCAAAAGTCCATTATATAATAAAATAGGTTTTCTGAATGCGTATGTTGATAAACTGACAAAATAGTTTACCTCTTTTTACTTATGGAGACACGTTTGTGTAATTAAAAATTAAGTGTGTATGAAAAGTTTAATTTCACAGAAGAGTTTCCTTTATGTATTACTGTAATTTTAAATTTATACTGAATAGGTCTAAGTAAATGAATGTATTCACCAGTCACCATGAGTAAACAAATGCACACAGCCCCCGCCCTGAAACTACATAAAATCAGGCCATGCCACAACAGACCAATTACCACATGTGTTACAGTGTGATCACGTGCTAATTGTTGTAGCTAAACATTGTTTACTCTTGGATTTAAATATTTAGACTATGGTTGTAGATATGTAATATTTATTTATGTCAGCAAAATTATTGCAATGTTTTTTCCAACATATGACCTATTTGTTAAAATGTGTTAAACATAACAGTGAATTAATAACAAAAAATGAGCTGTTAATTTAACTATCAACAAATCTTGGTTAAAAGCATTTTACAATTAACAATGTGTTAATTTCCACATATGACATAAGGACTGGAAATTTCTCTGTTAAATCCAAAGTTCATTAGATCATTGTCTGCGAAATTGAGGGTATATTGTATTCTTTGTTTGTGTTTTGTTTTGTTTTGTTTTGTTTTGTTTTTTGACATGTACTGAAGTTCCAGCATTTGGAAGGGACAAGAATGGACCCTCTAAAACATGGGGAAACGCTTTCAGCAGTTCCTCTCCCTGCACTGTCAAGGACTAAGGCATGTGTAATCCACAGGCACTTTCAAATGCAGGTGTCAGTGTATTCTAAAAGCACTACATATTTATTCTTCTTCATGCTTTATGATATTGATGTCAGATTTTAGATATTCTTGTGTTGTATATCTTCTACATATTGACTTTTGAATAAGTTTGATACTTTTTTTCTTTAAAACTTTGTAGTAGCTTTTTAATTTTTTTGTTTTCTTTATTGATTTTAGAGAGAGAAGGGAGAGGGAGAGAGAGATAGAAACATCGATGAGAGAGAACATTGATTGGCTGCCTCCTGCATGCCCCCCTCTGAGGATTTGGCCCACAACCTGGGCATGTGCCCTGACTGGGAATTGAACCTGTGACCTGTGGTCAACACTCAGCCACTGAGCCATACTGGCCGGGCTGTAGTAGCTTTTTAAATGCCTCATTTGCAGTATTTATTGAATATTTGACTTTACCTGTGAGGTTTTTTCATATTCACATATTTTCTTATTTTTGGTTGTAGCCTTTTCTTTTCTACTTAAAGAACACTCTTTGACATTTCTTGTAAAACTGGTTTAATGGTTATAAAATCCATTACTTTTTGCTTATCTGGTGAACTCTTTATCTCTCCTTCAATTCTGAATGATAACCTTAGTAGATAAATTATTCTAGGCTATAGGTTCCTTTCTTTCAGCACATTATGGTTGTCCTGCCACTTTCTTCTGGCCTATAAAGTTGCTGGTGAGAAATGAGCTGACAGCCTCAGAAGGTTTCCTTTGTATGTAGCTCTTTCTTTCTTTCTTTTTTTTTTTTTTCTTTTAGCTTCCTTCAAAATTATCTCTTTATCTTTAACTTTTGCCATTTTACCTACAATATGTCTTTGTATGGGTCTGTTTGGATCCATTTTGTTTGGAACTCTTTGTACTTCCTGGACCTAGATATTTGTTTTCTTTCCCAGGTTAGGTATATTCTCAGCCATTATTTCATTGAATAAACTTTCCTTTTTTTTTTGTCTTTCTTCTCCTTTTGGGATCCCTATAATAAGAAAGATTGAGTGCTTGATATTATCTCAGAGGCCCTTTAAACTATCCTCGTTTTATTTAAGTCTCTTTCCTTTCTGCTGCTCTGATTGGTTGATTTCCATTAGTCTATCTTCCGGGTAGGTGATCTGTTCCTCTGTGTTAGCTAATGTGCTATTTTGATTCCTTTCTTTTTTTAAGGAATTTTTATGAGTTTATTTGAACCAAACTGACAACATATGCTGGTAAGCAAGATTGCAAATGCTCTGGAGAATAACAATTTTGCAGCTTATTTTATGCATTTGAAATTAAGGAAGGAACATAGAAAGATTACATGAAAGTGGGAGAAATGAATGCAGGGATTGGATTATAGGATAGTTAAGAATATTGTGTGCTTTCCTACAGGTGGTTATGCCTTCAAAAGGTATTACTTCTGGCATCTCAAAGGTGTATTAACCTAGATGAAAAAAGGCAAAGGACAGGCATGCTCAAAAACCTTTCTCCAAGACTTTATAAGCCTGTATGTCCTAAAGGGCATGACTTCCCACCATGACTTGCCCAGTTAAGAATTTATGATTTATTACAGTACCCCTTTTTCTTCTATAACTCCCCCTTTCGGTCATAAATCAATCTAAAGAATGCATTGATGACCAACCTTTTGGTCGGATAGTGTGGTCTCACAGTGTGAGGAAGGTACATTCCTAAGAAGTCTCAGAATCAACATTGGACCATTGGGGATGCAGCAGTGAGATGTGACTTGAGGCCATATTTTCCCAAAAAGAGAAGGGAAGGTAAATGAAAGGCATTTGGGTCTTATGGTCATCATTGGGTCTTTTCTGTTATTTGAACTGTCATGATTCGAGTTTTGCCTTCTGTCTCATTTTTCTGTGTTTGGCATGTAGTATAACATTTTCACAAGCCATAAAGAGAGTATTAACTGTTATCTTATACGTGTATAATAATCATAGACTATGTAGAAAAACCCAAAGAGTAATTATAACTATTATTATAACTAATATTATTAGCATACATGTAAGACAGTTAAACAGAATGGATACTGAGTTCAATATCAATCCATAGGTATACAGGCCTTGGAGATGTCTTGGTATTATTGTCCTTCTCTGACATCAGTGACTTCTTATCCTAGATAACTCTTAGGTAGAAGTGAGTCTGTTTTAGACAGAGGCAAGTGTCCGAGACTGGTAGATATCCATCTGTGGTTAGGTGCCTAATAAGGTCCCTTTCAACAATGTTGAAGAGTGCCTTTTATTTGATGTCCTTTCCAATAAACAAAAATCCCCAGGTGGCAGTCAATGATCTTTAAAGTCTTTGTCTCCTGGGAGCTCGCTGTGAAAGGAAGCAGTTACCAACTTGGCATTTTCTTGAAGTGACTCTATCAGACCTTGGCAGTAGTGAAAGATGTCTCCTTTCAATAATGTCAGATCGTAAGTTCCTTCATCTAAGTACAGCTTATGATGCATGAAGGAATGCAAACACCGAAAAATGGGGAGCCAGGGAGCAGGGAAGAACCAAGCGGCCTCCTTGGGTTTCCCATAGCCCTGACTATTCATTTCATTTACATCCATTGCTTATTCAAAAAATATACCCTAGAAGTTTTTTTACCACTTATTTTATAATGCTCCCCATTCAATTTAACATAAGAGACAAGTCTTTTTAGGTGTTCCAGGGGCCCTTATGGAATACTGCAAGATTATTTCTACATATATTGAGATTTTTAACCCTTAAGACCTCAATTTCTAATTAAAAGTGGGAAGTAAGCAATTAGCATTCTTTATTTTAGACATTTTATAACCTGTAGAAAATAAATGTTTTATTGGCAAATATATCTGAAATATTTTATAACCTCTAGAAAATTTCATGAACATCAAATCAAGTTATTAACACAGCCTTATTTTTGTAAAACCAAGGTGAAATATATACATGTCTGTTTTAGTTGAACCAACAAACTTAAGCTAGTTTTATTTACTAAGGATTAATTTTTGATCATATGAACTTGAAAAGTATTGAAGTTTGTTTCTATATTTCTGAGAATTTTAGAATACCCAATTCTTACAAGTGCTTGTTTTTAAATGAATTTTGACAGTACATCCGGAGGTAAAAAATGATCTCACATTTACAAATTACATATATAGACAGACACAGGGAATTTGTATCAGTCCTTGGCCAGTTAAGTTCCAAATGACCTTCCGCCTTTTAAAATAAGGACAGCCAGTCCTGGCCAGTTTGGCTCAGCAGTTAAAATATCAGCCCATGGACCAAAGGGTCACAGGTTCAATTTCTGGTTGAGGGCACAAACCTGGGTTGCAGGTTTGATCCCTGGCCCGGTTGGGGTCATGCAGGAGGCAGCCAATTGATATGTCTCTCTCACATCAATATTTCTCTCTCTCTCTCTCTTCCCCTCCCTCCCTTCCACTCTATCTAAAACTCAATGGAAGAAATATCCTTGGGTGAGGATTAACAAAAATATAATAAAACAAGCACAGCCTTTTTATTATTATTATCATTTTTGTTACAGATGTTTCTCCTTTTGTACCCCATTGACACCCTCCTCCCCATCCCCCTCCCACCCCATCCTCGGCTTTGTTGTCCATGTCCATTGGTTATGCATACATGCATATAAGTTCTGTGTTTTATCTCTTCCCGCCCCCCACCACACCCTCTTCTGAGGGTTGTCAGTCTGTACCCTACTTCCATGTCTCTGGGTCTACCCTTTTCCTCAGACTGTTATGTTCATTATATTCCACAAATAAGTGAGATCATGTGGTATTTGTCTTTTTCTGCTTGGCTTGTTTCACTTAGGATAATACTTTCCAGGTCCCTCCATGTCGTCTCAAGGGATAAGAGATCTTTCTTTCCTACAGCTGCATAGTACTCCATTGTGTATATGTACCATAGCTTTTTTTATCCATTCATCTACCAATGGACACTTGGGCCGTTTCTAGATCTTAGCTATTGTAAATAGTGCTGCTATGAACATGGGGGTACATATATTCTTTCTGATTGGTGTTTCAGGCTTCTTAGGGTATATTCCTAGAAGTGGGAACACTGGGTCAAATGGCAGTTCAATTTTTAATTTTTTGAGGTAACACCATATTGTTTTCCATAGTGGCTGCACCAGTCTTCATTCCCACCAGCAGTGCAATAGAGTCCCCTTTTCTCCACACTCTTGCCAACACTTGTTTGATGATTTGTTGATGGCGACCATTCTGACAGGTGTGAGGTGATACCTCATTGTCGTTTTAATTTGCATCTCTCTGATGATTAGTGATGTTGAGCATTTCTTCATGTCTCTTGGCCATTTGTATGTCCTATTTGGAGAGGTGTCTATTCAGCTTCTCTGCCCATTTTTTAATTGGGTTCTTTGTCTTCCTTTTGTTGAGTTGTATGAGTACTCTATATATTTTGGAAATTAACCCCTTATCTGATGTGTCATTAGCAGTGATCTTCTCCCATACAGTGGGTTGCCTTTCCATTTTGATAGTTGTTTCTTTTGCTGTGCAGAAGCTTTTTAGTTTGATGTAGTCCCATGTGTTCATCTTTTCCTTTGTTTCTGTTGCCTTAAGTGATGTATCAGTGAAAATTCTGCTGCATATGATGTCTGAAATTTTGTTGCCTACATTTTCTTCCAGAATGTTTATGGATTCACAGGTCACATTTAAGTCTTTTATCCATTTTGAGTTTATTCTTGTGTATGGTGTAAGTTGATGGTCTAGTTTCATTTTTGCATGTAGCTGTCCTATTTTCCCAACACCATTTATTAAAGAGGCTGTCTTTACTCCACTGTATGTTCTTGCCACCTTTGTCAAATATTAATTGAGCATGTTGCCTTGGGTCCATTTCTGGGTTCTCTATTCTGTTCCACTGGTCCATATGCCTGTTCTTGTGCCAGTACCAGGCTGTTTTGATTAGAGTCGCTTTGTAGTATAACCTGATATCTGGTATTGTGATCCCAACTACTTTGTCTTTCTTTTTCAAGATGGCTGTGGCTATTCGGGGTCTTTTTTGGTTTCATATAAACTTT